AGCTAGAGCAAATGGCCCAGGATAAAGGACTCTGGAGATCTGTGGTTGGCGGCCCATACCCCAACTGGGGTGACGGGCATGAGTGAGTGAGAGTGAGTTAGAAGGGCTAAAACACTAAGGAGGGAGCAAAACGGTGCAGGATGGTGTTTAACTATCACCAGGGGGATGAAAGCAAAAGAAGCTTTAGGCCAAATATCAGAAAAAGAGTGTGTGGAATAATCTCCCAAAAGGAACTGGGGGAGAAGGGAGCGGGGAAGCCCCTATCACATTATCTTAAGCTGCAAAATGTCACTTCCCATTCCCGTTTCTCCTTACCAATGTGACCAGCTATCCAGAAATTATATTGACAGTTGTGATGCAGATTTATTGATATTTCATGTTAAAAGGATAAGTAGATCTGAACAGCCCAGGCGTGAAATATAACTGGACAGCTCAGATAATCAGTGTGTGTGCATATAAATGGATGTATTCGTGTAGAGCACAGGGCTGTGTGCAGTAATTGCAGTAAAACCTAAAGCCACATGAAACTCACCCACTTTGGGGGATCATAACAAACCCAAGATAAGATCAGAACTTGGATCAGTGGAGGATTTAGAACAGAAGCCCATTGGAAATGCACGGTTCCATATGAGAGAAACCCAAATGAAAAATACTAGCTCAGAACACATCAGAACTCTAGGGTGTTAAAAATCGGAGCCCTGATCTGAAATTTCCAGATGATCCCTATTTCTAATGGGCCCAACAAACGTAAGATTTTAAGCAGTGGTTCTAATCCATGGTTTTGGTCCAGGCCTCTGTGCAATCAGTGCAGTGATAATGTCCTCATTCAAACAGAGAAGGGTCAACGGGCAATGGTTTTCCATACATCACTGTGGGGCCAGACTTGCAGCCATTGCAAGCAGCTGGTAGATGCCCCAAAGCCCTGCATGACACAGCAGTTCATTCTCAGTGCATGCTCTCCTGCCTCAGAGAGAGCAGAGGCAGAGGTTACTCTCAGCTTGGTTTTTTCGAAAGCCCTCCTCTATCAGGACGGGGGCCCTGTCGTTGGTATGGCTGCACCTACATCATAATTTAAAATTCATACTGTGATTTGTGCAATTCAGGAGTCTGGACTTCATGACTGCTTGTTTAACTCCAGATCCTTCGAGTGCTGAGTGCCCTCCATCCTTATGGAACTCGATAAGCATTGAGGATGCTCAGCACCTTGCCGAATCAGACCCTTAGTGCCGGAAGGGATTTTCAACAACAGCATCTAAGTGATGTAGGAACAGAAGCCTTATTGAAAGGGCCAGATCCTGCAGACACTTAGAGTATGTCTACACTGCAATAAAAACCCAGCAGCACCGATCCTCAGAGCCTGGGTCAGCTAACTCAGGGTCACAGGGCCCAGCCTTTGGAGCTAAAATAGCAGGGTAGATGTTCAGGCTCTGAGACCCTCGCAGGGTCTCAGAGCCCAGGCTCCATTTTGAGCCTGAACGTCTACACTGCTATTTTTAGCCCCGCTATCCTAAATCAGCTGACTTGGGCCAGCTGCCACCCTGCCATGTGTCTTTTATTGCAGTGTAGACGTAACCTTAGGCATGAGCTTAACTGGAAGCATTCAGTGAGACCACACCATGCACAAAGTTAACCACCTGCATAAACGTTTGCTGGGTCAGGAAGAGCGTACACGCAGCCCTGATTTTCAGTGCTCCTGAGTTCTCACAGTGCCCTCGACTTCAGTGGGAGCTTTGCCTGGTGGAGTTGAAAATCAAGCTCTTAATCTATATGCAATATTCCAAATTATAAAGATGTGTGGTTTTAACTCGGGCTGTCTGATATCCTTTCAATGAAATCTTAAATACCTTGAAATGTGAGGTTTTTTTATTGTGTTTGTGTCACAAAATACGTTCAAGTTTGTACAAAAAAATTCAACTTTTGAATTTCTTTTTATTTATTATTTGGATGCCTAGGAGCCTCCATCGTGGACAATGACCCCATAGTGCTAGGTGCTGTCCAAAGAACCGAACTTACCTGAATAACTGCCTGATGAACTTCTCATCTGAATAGACAAGAATGACACAGCGTGGTAGGGAAGGGATGCAACACACAAGCAGAGTGAACAATGTGATGGTAGCAAATATCATGTTAGTTCCATTATTTCTTTTGAAGGCCATTTGGGAGTGGAAATTGGGCCCATTTTAAGCAAAAATTGGTTTGATACTCAGGTGAAACCTTCAAAAGCTTTGACTTTTCAAAATGCCATTTCAGTGAAGATCAATTCCCCCCCCCCCCCCGCCATCCAAACACACAAGCTTTCAAAGTTTGGTGTTCTTTGGGGGTGGGGGGAGGGGAGTTAGGGTGGAAGCTCTCATTTTGTGAACATTTCACTATAAAGACAAAATTCGGAGATTGCTAAATGGCCTGGAATGCAATTATCTGTTTTTTCTTTATTTTTAAACAAGTAACTATAATTATCTAAAAGCCCATGAGCCTGATCTGATCAGGCTGCCATAGACTTCAGTGGGGCTTTTCATGTATAGGTTTTATTGGGCCATCCTGTGCAATACAACTTTACTCCATTATTATTACTGTTGATCGTTTCTTAAGTGCTGACAGCATATTTGACCCTGTACAAAACACAAAATGAAGGCAGTTCCTGTCCAAAAGGGGGAACTGACAATCCGAGCAAGACTGATGCACCCAAGACAGGATGCCCTGGGCAGCACAGAAGGGGGACCAGGTTAGATTTTGTTGGCTTTGTTTTTTATGCTCTTGCTGTTTTTCCCGTCATTCGTTATTGTGACTGTACAAGGCTAGGTCCTCGCTTGTTCGCATGTCACATCCTCCACTGAGATCTATTTGTGTCCTGTGACGTGATGCTGCTCCGCTCTAAAAGTCAATCAACATTGCCCAAAACACATTTTAACTAGGAAGCGGCAGCGCCTTTGACATTCGAAGTCAATACCATGCTTGCATCAGTAGTTTTCTCTGTCAAGACAAACTAGGCTTCCTCACCCTACAGCACCCAGGACTTTCTTTCGTCCTAGAGCTTTTGCCAATCAGCTACTGGACACCCCCCTCTGCTTAGTTCTGAACATTTCAAGGGATTAGAAGGTAAGGTTGCTTATTAAAACTAGAGCTCTTTTATGGAACACTGTGGGTCCGAACAGTGCAGGTTAATAACGTGTGTGCAATAAAGTTCACCTAAGCCGTGTTTTATGGTAAGTCTCCACTGCAGTCAGAGGTGTGACTGCAGCATGTGTAGAGACACCTTTGATCCAGCTAGCCCAAATAATGATAATCGTGGTGGCATGGGCTAGCTGCTCAAGTAAATACCCAGGGTCCTCGGTGGAGTTGTAGAGTTCCTGCTGCTACAGCTTCACTGCTATTGTTGTTGTACCCTTAATTATATCACTTTTGGTATGTAATAAGATGACAACTCCTCTGAGAAAAGTAATGTTTGTTTTCCTCGTGCCCTATAATAGAATCTATCACATAGTTGTCACGATTTTTGAAGGAATGTTCTTGTGGAATATGAGAGATTTTAGATGTTATGTATTTTAATCTGAAGAGAGACGCTCTCTCTTTATAATGCTAGAGTACCTGTTGTCATTTTGTCTATAAATCCTACTCATGCACATAAACACGAGGAAATCTCCCCCCGCCCCCATCTTTATATATTTCTATTGTAAAAATAGAAATTCTAGGACCACCACCCCCTGCTGTGGGAATCTCTCTAAATGTTTAAAACAATGTGATAATCAGCAGTTACATTGAACCACTACATCAATAGTTACTATTGGACCACTTTTTCTCCTGTAGGCTTGGAAGAGGGAGAGGGAATGTTATTTCTATTTTGAAATTCTTGGCAGCTGCTCAGGGGGTTTCTACACTTACAGCACTGCACCAACGTACACATAGTGAAGATGCTACTTACACCGATGGGAGAGCTTCTCTAGTCAGCTTAGGTACTTCTCCCTGAGAGACGGTATGTCGATGGGAGAAGCCCTCCCATCAAGCTATCTATACCAGGGACTAGGTTGTTATAATCCATGTAGATTTTTCCACACCCCGGAGTGACATAATTATACTGACATTTTGTAGTACAGAGACCAGGGCTAAGATATAAGCAGATAAAGTTCTGTATATTGAGATTAAAACCTCTGAAGCTAACAAAAATATCTGAATGTGTGCGCGTGTGGATCTAGATACATAGAAACATTCCAAATGTGGTAATGTTGATGGATAGAGAATGTTAGTCTGTACGTTTGAGAAGCAGTTTCCATGGTCACACGCCCCTTTTTCGTTTGCTCACAACATTCCCCGAAATGTCTTCGTGGGCAGTAAATGTGCATATGTTTAATTATGAATCTCTCTAAAGTATACTGTTAGTTCTAGGCTGTGTCTACACTACAGCGCCTATGGCAGCATAGCTGTGTTGGCATAGGCCCCTAGTGTAGGGGCATCAGATGTCAACAGTAGGCGTTTTAGCTGCCTAGTGTAGATGCAGCATCTGTCAACAGAAAGAGGTTTTTCTGCCAATATAGGAACACCACCTACCTGACAACACTAGCTGTGCCGACAGAGACACTCTTCTAATCGCATAGCTACATCTACACTAGGGGTTTTGTTGCCATAGCTGCATCACTAGAGGGTGTAGGGTTTTTTGCACATCCGTGACTGGTTAATGGCTATGTCAGTATAAGTGACCCCCCACACTGGGAGACAGCAGCCCAGGATAGGGATAACTGGAGAAGACTTGTCAGAGAGGGAACGTCCACTTTTGAGGAAAACCGCCTTGCCCTGGTTGCAGAAAAACGCTATAAAAGAAAGACAATTGTCACGCAGCAATTGTGGCCCAACCCTGTCTTCCAAAACCACTTACAATGTCTGCCAACGAGCCCGTGGCTCAAGGATCGGATTCCTCAGTCACCAAAGGCCCCATGAAAAATAAAACATGTGAAAGATCATCCTAGACCCGAGGGATTGCCGATAAGTGTAGAACAGACCATAGAAACACCTTTGTCCAGATCCATCTCTTAGTGAACCAGAAGAAAAGGACAAGAGAATAATTGAGCATACAAACAGACTATATCTGTTCCTGTTTAGCCAGAGTCTTGGTGACCATGTTAACAAGGGCTGTTTGCAGAGATGCGAAATGAGTCTCTTCAGAAGACTCCCTACTCAAAAAGGCATTTAGAAAGAGCACAACATCATGGCAGCACATCCTAATACCGCACATCATAGACCAGAAAAGTTAAGCTCAGCTGGTTTGTTGAGGACCCCAAAATGGAATTAGACTTGATTTACCTTCAGTTTAGAAGGGATCGTTATTTCGTACACTATATGGCATAAGAAGTCTACCCCTCTGATCCATTCTTTTCATTCCCTTCTGCATCTCAGGTACCCATCACTTGTTTCTTTGCCCTCCTTTCATACCCCAACACTGCCGGTTCCTTTCTGTCTTTGGCCTTGTCTTGTTAATAGGCAGCAGCTTTAAAACAAACAAAAGGAAGTATTTTTTTCACACAACACACAGTCAACCTGTGGAACTCCTTGCCAGAGGATGTTGTGAAGGCCAAGACTATAACAGGGTTCAAAAATATATTCATGGAGGATAGGTCCATCAATGGCTGTTAGCCAGGATGAGCAGGGATGGTGTCCCTAGTCTCTGTTTGCCAGAATCTGGATGGGCGACGGGAATAAATCACTTGATTACTTGTTCTGTTCATTCCCTCTGGGCCACTGTCAGAGTACAGGATACTGGGCTAAATGGACCTTTGGTCTGACCCAGTATGGCTGTTCTTATGTACACTTAAAAGTTTTGCCGGTATAACTATAGTGGTAAAAACTTCCTGGTGTAGATGCAGTTGTAGTAGCAAAATAAGTCCTTTTGATTTGTAAAGCTTTTTCTGGTTCAACAAACAAAATAAGTTATATCAGCAAAATCTGTTTTTTCTGGTGTAACTGCATATATTGGGGCTCTTGCAGGCATAGCTAGTTCATGTTAATCAAAACAAACAAAAAAATCACAACCCTAACAAAATAGCTATGCCAGCAAAGCTTTTAAATGGCTTTAGGGTTTTATACGGTCATCCATCTCCTAGTATCTGAGCACCTTCCATATACAATTGATGTCCATAACCAAGTCCCTTGTGGACCTCATAGTCTCTGACAATTCTCACTTCTCAAGGTAAAAGGTCTGGTTTGGATTAAGTTTATTTATGTGGTTGCTTGGTTTCAGATTGTGGGGATTTCTTTGGGGGTTCGCTGGAAGGGGCTGTCACTGTTTCAGGTCCTCTTCTCATCTATCAGCTGAGTCGCCCATCCCAGATCCTAGTCTGACATTTTTATTGCTCAGACCCTTTCTGTTACACATTTTCTAACATGACTTTCCTATCTTCTCTTCAAATCCTGGAACCAGATAACCTTTAGTTTCATGAAGTCAAGGCCTGATGTCAGGTTACATTTGCACTAGTGCAATTTGAGCACTCAGTGTGTGCACAATTGCATATCCTAAAGAAAGTGTTTATCTACATAAATGGTGCTAGATACACACTGGCATGTGCAAATACCCAATCTGGCGCACACCGTTGTGGTAACTAAATACCCAAACTTGGCAATTTGCGTCCCGGTGTCCTGAAAATCGGACCCAATCAATTGTGGTTTTTTTTAAGAGTGTTGCAACATTCATGTATTAATCTCTATGGCCTAAATAAAATTCTTTGAGCCCTGTTCCTACACTGCCTCCCCAGTGAATGTCAACGGTTCAGGACTAGGCTGGCAGTCAAGAAACCCAAATTCTGTTCTCTCCTCTGACATTAGCTCCTCATCTGTCAGCTATGGCTAATGACACTGACACGTCTTTGTAAGGCACCCTGAGATCTATGCTGAAAAGTGTTCTGTAAGGGATGTGTGGTTATTATCTAAGTCTTTATTCTCCAGTTACAATGAATATTTGGCTCATTGGCTTATTATTGTGAGGCTACTTATGAGTGATGGGGCTGTGCGCAATGGCTTGGTCTTTGTAGGGTTACTCAGTGTGTTGGGCTGTCATGCTGGTTTGTTTCTGTAGGGTTCTAGGAGGTTGAAATTGATTCACTTTTTAGGGCCAAGCCCACTAACATAAATTAAAAAAAAAAAAGAAAGGAGACTCTAGAGAACACTCCCACCCATATCTAGGAATGGGAATCCATTTTATTTTTTATTAGTAAAATACCCTTGACTTGTACCCTAAGTGCAATGGACAGACCAGGTTCTTGTTTATGGACCTGGCCGTATACAGAGATCAAATCCAGCTGCGCTTATGTAAGCACAGTCCCCCTACCCCCCACGGAGTCAATAGACATTTTGCCTGCATAACAGTGACGTAGTCTGGATCTAAGGATTCAGCCCAAAATGCACCAAGAGCTCTGCTTTCTAAGAAGGAATCATTTAGGGTCTCCCATTGAAACTAGACCATTTAATTCAGTAGCAGCAAGATTGGGCACTATGAGCCCAATCCAAAGCCCCTAAAGTTGATTTGAAGACTCCCATTGATTTTAATAGGCTTTGGAGCAGGCCCCTTGTTTTGTAACCTGGTCTGACATGAGAAATGCCACTTCAGGTGGAATGTCCTCAGTCAGTGCACGCATATGCCATCATCTTTATACCAGTATAACCAGTCCACCCTTAGGGGTTGCACCAGTTTAACTAAATAGGTTTCTTTCTATCGATTTTAGTTAAATCAGTACAAAAACTGTAAATAAACCCCGATTCACCGATGTGGGACAAGGACTACCTCTTGTATTGTTTTTGCACAGCACCTATCACAATAGAGCCCCAAGCTTGGTTGGGGCTTCTCAATGCTACTGTAATATAAATAAGATAAGATAAATGACAAGGTTATTCTGTTTCCTGATTGGCTGACTGCAGCTTTTAAACAGGGATAATGGTCTGAATATATGGACAAATAATCATTTGTGAAGATTTTGCACTTCCAGACATACCCGGTAGTTAAACGAATGCTTGCAAATAGAGAATAACATGACCACGCTTCCCTCAACAACCTAAACTCAGTACTTTATTCACTATTACTTTTGCAAATCTTTTTTTTTTTTAAACTGATCAGCTCTGATAATGTTTGATGCCTTCTCTTGAGAAAACAAGAGCTGGCCATTAGTTTGTGATGGTACTCAGAGCCCAGAGCTGGCTATCTGATCACTCTCAAAGTGACTTTGAAAGGCATTGATTTTACTGCCACTACTAGTAACCATCCTCTTGTCTTCATCAAGTGTGAAGGGCAATCACTATAGGTGAGATAATTAGGAAACTAATTACTATTCTTGATGAAAACACAAAAACTCCATTCAAAATAAAACCGTATGTGAGAATTATGAGCAAAAAGCAGGACAAATATTTACCAAAATGGGTCGGTGCATGATGAAAATGCAAATTCCACTTAAGAGAAGCAGCAGGACAATAATACTTTGCATCTGTAGATCACTTTTTTATATACTTTTTTCATCCTCACAGCACTTCATAAAGGGAGGTCAGTATCATTTTTTTTTAAGATTGGGGGGGAAAACTTCAGCAAAGAGGTGGAATGACTTTCCAGAAGTCTCAAAGCAAAGTCTGCACTACAACCCAGGTCTCCTGTCTCCCAGCCCCACGACTATAACAACTAGACTGCTTTAGCCTTTCGCTTCTGAAAACTGTGATATCCCCAGCAAGCCAGTCTGCCTAACCAGGCCAGCATCTGCACTTGGCATACTCTTTAAAGCCTATGACCGGTGGAATTGCCAGCAGTTACAAGTTAGCCCACAGCTCTTTCTAAACAAGCACCTTTATTTTAAGGGGAAAGCATTACAGAGAAAACATATTAAAATATATGTTTAATATGTACACACTTGCAGAGATCACCACCCGCCCCCAACTCCAATTTTAGGCTATGACAGGTGTCAGTCCTTCCAACCCTTCCCTAAGGATTGGGACCCCTGGCCCCTGCCTTGGACAGAAGGTCCTGTCTGTTGGCTGGATCTGAGAGAGCCCTTAATTTAAACTCAGGCTATTAATCCAAAAGTCCTTTCTTTGTCCAGTAGCTTCTGGAGAATCCGGTTTGAAGCAATATATATGAGCCTCTTCAGGTGGCGGTGCCCCTATGGACATATTAAAACCTGAGTGAATTTGCCTAATCATCCCTCCGCCTCCAGCCACTGTTCTTCGTTCCTGGAGGGCTGTGGTCACCGTCTCCAATGGAATTTCATACAGTCCCAGGCCCACAATGAGTTCTCCCAAAGATATGGCAGGAAATTGCCATATATGTGTCTGTCTGTCTCTAGGAGTGACTGGGTAGTTCAGTCTCCACGGCCTGTCTAGTTCTTGGCCTTTCTGTTGAGACAGCCAGTTAGGATCGGTGGTTGTGATGTAGATGCTAGGAACTGAGCTGAGAACCTCATGTTGCCCAAGTCATCAGACAAACGTCAAAAGCCGTTGCTACCTAATCACCCATTGCAATGAGTCACATTTGAACTTGGTGATATATGGCCTGGTGCAGCCACAAGGAGAATCAAAAGGACCGGGTTTTTTTGTTCTGTGTTTGTACAGCACCTAGCACAGTGAGGTCCAGGTCCATGATAGAGCCCCTACATGCTACAGGAATACAAATAATAAGGAGTAATAAAAAGGGAAGCCTTTCCTTTGACTTTAATGGCAGTTGGATCAGGTACCTACAGCTCGGATAGCTTCTGTATCTCATTACAAACCTCCTAAGCTAGCTAGTTCCCTTACAGAAATAATATTAAAAACCCAATCACCTCTGTGAATTTAGGCCTCTTGTTCATTAAATATTTCCCTTGTAATTATTTATGCATATTGCAGTAGAAACTAGGAGCCCCAGTCATGTACCAGCTGCCCATTTTGCTAGGCCCTGTACAAACACAGAATGAAACAATGTCTTCAGACCTTCTTCTCTCCAATGCTTTGCCTGTTTTGTCTATTTAGGCTGTAAGTTCTTGGGGCAAGGACTGTCTCTCACCAGCTGATTGTACCGTGCATAGCACAATGGTCGCCATCTCTGTTGGGGTCTGTAGGCACTACTGTAACACAAATAACATTTATTAAGCAACGTCCTTCACACTGCTCCCCAGCAATATGTCTTAGCCCAGATCCGGCAGAACCACCTCAGGGGATCGGCGAGAAACTCCAGCCTTCGTCAGTATTGATTTATTATTTATTTATATTGCAGGAGCATCTAGAAAAAGGACCTGGCCCCACTGTGCCAGGCACTGTACAAACACAAAACTAAAGGATGGCCCCTGCCCCAAAAAGATGACAATTTTAATAATAGTCTCTTTCCACTGATGTGGAGCTAGATGCCTCTCTCTAGAGAATCTCTTATTGATCTAAAATGAAAATATTTTTTCTTAAAAGTCATGTTCTAATTATTTTTCTTTCTTTCCCGCCCCCCTTGAATCCCTCAGCTCTCTCCTCTCGTGGTTCAGTCATGATGGATGAGGATGATGGATTGAGTGAAAGAGGTCTCAGCAACTCCAGGAAGAGATATGATGATGATGAAGGTAAGAGAAATTCCAGGTGTTCCACAATTTGCCTTGGGAGGCTGATTCTGCTCCCATTGAAGTCCAATGGCAAAACTCTCATTGACTTCAGTGATCGATTGATCTACCTACCTACCTACCTACTTATATGGCCCTCATCACTGCAGTATGTCACAATCATTAATGGATTCGTTCGCCCAAATCCTTCTGGGAGATAGGGAAGTGCTATCTCCATTTATAGATGAAGAACTAAGGCCCCGGACAGCTCTAAGTAACATGTTCATGGGCACACAGGGACTCTGTGGCTGAGCTGTGAATTGAACCCAGATATCCTGAGTCCTAGTCTAATGCCCTGTCTATCCACTAGACCAATGTTTCTCAGCTCATGGGTCATGACAACCAAAGGGGTTGCGAGGCATTGAAAAACGTATTTGTTCGGAAGAAAAGAAAATCTCACTCCTCACACACCCTTACTCTTCAAAGTCCAGTATTCTCTATCAACTTCTCAAAGCACATACACAAATAAGACTTATTGTTATCCTAGATACCTTTTTTTACTCTTTTATATTAAATGTAAGGGGGACATGAACGTTTTTGACTTTGACTAAGAGGTGGACAGTTTGAGAAGGTTGAGAAACCACTGCCTTAGACTTCGTACTAGACAGCTGACGCCCGATCCTGAGAGGTGTTGAGCACCCACAACTCCTGTTGAAGTCTGTGGAAGCTGTAGCACCTCAGCACGTCTCAGAATAGGGCTGTTCAGTTGGTCTGAAGACTATTTTGCAGGGTAATATTCCTTGGAGTAATGGAATAGAGAAGTGATGCCAAAATTCAAGGCAAAATGGATAAAATTTGTCACGTTTCCATCTAAATAAGGAAAAACGTACTTTGTGGAGGCGAAACATGGTTTGGCACAGTCTTGCACCCCGATGTATCAGTGGGGATGCATGTTATGGTGCTTCTAGGGGTGCTGATGAGATGCAGAACCCATGGGCTTGCCTACTTGTGGACTCCATAGCATCGATGGGTTTGGGAGTAGCCAGACATCTTTGTTAGCATGATAGTAATGTTTGGTGTTTCAGGCCTAATGGGGTGGGGAGAGCATATGGAAGAACTGGCTTTTATCCACAAGTGAAAAGCTGTGAGGTTTGTACACCCAGAGCCCTGCTTCTGCATGGAAAGTTCCTTGGTGGGTTTCTTTTTTCTCCATTGCAGACTACCATTCCATTTACATCGGGGTGCCAATGCCACGGGGCTACAGGAGGAAAAGGCGCAGACGGAGATCCACCTCCAGCCGGGATAAAACCAGCGAGAATGAAAGGCTCTACGAGCGCCAGGACCGCTCAGATACCGATGAAGGAGGGCAAGCAAGCTACGACAATGGGAACGACAACGCCAGCAGGACGAGTAAGTCCCAGTTGTGCTACACCCTGCAATCAAGAAAAGGAATTAGGCTCTCGCTAGATCAGATTTCCTGAGGTGGTCTGTGCGGTCCTCTATAATGCTTGCATCATTTTTTTCAACAAATTGTGTTTTTCATTTAAAAAAACAGGGCTTGAATTCAATTCCAAATTTGGCCAATTTAAAAAAAAAAAGGTGAAAAACACCTGAAACTGCCAAATCGAAATGAAAAATTGGAAAACAAAATCATTTGAAGTTGACCGAAAACATTTTGGTTGACTCTAAATGAATCAAAACACTGGGGAAATATCATTTAGAGGTATAGAAACATTTCATTCAGTTGAAAATTAATTTTTTTCAGCTTTTCAACTGGACAAAAACTTTTGAAAGTTTCATTTTGGGTCAGATTTTTTTTTATTATTATTATTATTCAATTCAGCCCCAGACCCAAAAAAACATTATTCACTCAAGTTTAGTCCTCTGTAGCGCTCAAGCTGACATAGCCTTTTGTGCCTTCACCACAAGGGGACAGTACTCAGATGTTCCAGAGCTGGCTTTGTACTCCCCTAATTCCCACAGCTGCCAGGGGCCGATTTGGTACTTGGCTGCTTAAGAATGGCCTAAAGGATTCTCTAAATTATAGGTGGTTGCACTGGCCACAAAGGGTCTGTTCAGGCAGCTCAGGGCTGCTGAAGCACAAGTCTTGTTGCCGGGATCTCTTTCAGCCCATGCAGTTTAGGAAGAGTGAGCTGGATTCAGTTCTGCTTTGTGCAGCATCAGCAAATTTGTCAGGTATGTTCTGACTGTAGAATTGAAACATAAGAACGGCCACACTGAGTCAGACCAATGGTCCATCTAGCCCAGTGTTCTGGCTTAGGGACACTCGGAGCATGGGGTTGCGTCCTTGACTAGCTTGGCTAATAGCCATTGATGGACCCATTCTCCATGCAATATAATTGTTAGAGATGTTTGGACTGTTTTGTCCAGTCTAATTTTACAAGCCGCCCCCCACCCACCCCAAAAAATAGGACTTCCACCATTTTCCTCAGGAAATGCACAGCTTAATAGATCTCATTGTCAGAAAGCTTTTCTCCTTATATTCAGCATAATTTCATCTGACCACTCATAGCTATGCCCTGTGTACTGGCCACACCAAATAAATTTCTCTCCATCCTGCATGTTTATGAAACCTACCCACTGGTTTATTTTGTATTTTGTGTGACGTGTAGTGTGTTTCCTGTAGTGGCTGGTCCGCGTACAAGAGCCTATTACTGTTAATAGCAAATGTGGTACTCCTCTAGTTCAAATGGTAACCGTCCTTGCTTTTAGTGTTGAAGGTCCTGGGTCCGTTCTCTGCTGATAAAACATGGTAAAGAAAGTAGCATTTGCAGCCTGTAGGTACAATTATGGTCTCTTCTTCGCTATTCTAAATGGTACCAAAAACAAGAAGAAGATAGCCTTAATTTTTCAAGTCCCATGACACCAGCAATTTGAAAACACACCTTTTCCTTTGTAAGCAGAGCAGATGTGATATGTTAGCCTTTGAAAGAGTCCGTATGTAATGCAGCAAGGTCATTTCAGTGCTGTGTTTTCAAAGTGTTATTGTGCTGTAAGTAATTAATGTTATTTCCTACTTCTTACTAAACAATAGAGTTAATAGCCCGTATTTCTGGTCATTGAATTATGACTGAATGCAGTGCCTTTTTGCTGACCATTTTCTGGCTTTACTTTTTGCATTTTTTCCATCCTGACTTAATTGCAATATTTATAAAGTGCTTTGAGATCTACTGATGAAAAGCACTATAAAAGAGGTAGGTATTATTTCTCCTAGTTTATTATTCCAATTGCAGTAGCGTCTAAGAACCCTAGCTGAGGGTCAGGGCCCCATTGTGCTATGCAGTACACAGAAAATAACAAAAAAGACCGTCCCTGTCCCAGGGAGCTCACAGACTAGATGTCAGACAGGACATGACAGGTGAACAGAGAAGACCGGCAGGGGCGGGGGTGGGGTGGTGAATGGGAGGGTGAGTTAGCAGAATGACCAGAATTTAGCAGAAAATGTATTCGTTGCTCTAATATATTTCAAGGTGTCATGTAATCATAGTTGTTAGAGACAGGAAAGACCCTATTGGGTCACATCTAGTCTATTTCTTCACCAGAGTAGGATTGTTCCCTACAGTTTATTCCCTAGAGCCTTGTCCAGTCTAGTTTTTAAAGCTCCTTAGCAAAGATTAACATTTTACATAGCAAAATAGCTGTCAATCTTCGTTTTAGCCCCAATATAGATGTTCTCTTCTTTTTGCTCATTTAAGAGGCACTAAACCAAACTGCTGTAGGAGCTGGATCACAAAAAGTGACCTGATATAGGGATTTGCTTTAGAATCCTCTCTTTAAGAGCACAATTTTGTACTCACCATAGATTCTGCTTGCGATTCATTCATGCTTTTCACTGGCAAAGCATTCCAGCAATTCCCTGGCAAAAGTGCACTTGTAAAACCAGAGTACCAGTCTGGAAATCATGCCTGTAATTCCTTATACTTAAACTTTGTTTTCTTTCACTGGGCAAAGCATAGTGTCCCAGTTAGTTATTCAATGTGACTTACATATAGAGGCCGTGCATTAAAGCTAAATGATAGCAAACCTGTAGGATCAACAGCGCAGGCTTGTCTTCTATTTGACGGTCTCCAATAAAAGGTGCTGGAAATGGTAAAGGTTTCTGACTGTGGCTAGTTATGGGGAGTACAGTCCTTTGTAGTTGTTGCAAGTTGTTTCTGAATAATGCAGCATTTACAAAGCAAGCGTTCGCAATTGTGTATTTGAAACAGTCTCCAAAGCACTTAGTGGAGCACTCTAACCCTGCATAAAGTCCTCAATTTACCTTACCTTGAAGGAAATAAATCCAATGCAATATTCCTGATGGATGGATGTCAGTATCTGAAGATGAGGCCCAGCATGCGTATGATGCAATATGAAGGAACAGTAAAGCACGAGGCACATGGAGAATCCAAAACATTTAGGATTTAAACCAGCTAAAATAGGGCCTGTTCAGCAGTTCAACTCATACTTTGGCAGAACTCCCATTGACTTCTGTGGGGAATTTTGCCTGAGTAAAGAGGCATAGGGCTCTGTCCGTGCTTGGAATAAATATGTGCAGCATTTCTGAAGTTGTAGAGATTATATCAAAACCTGTGCCGCTGTTCCCATCCTCCCACCTCTCTCTCATTTCTCCCCCCCCCATTCACTCTCTCTCACACACACCAGTTCGCTCACCTCTTGTACAGGCATATCGGTGGATTTGGTAACTTCACGTCATGAGAGCTGAAGAGAGAGGAAAGTGCTTTATATTCTCTATAATCTGCTCATTAAGCTGTGGAGTTTAACAAGACTGAGTGGATAAAGGAGGAAGTTTGGGGTGGTTTTTGTTTGGTGTGGTGTACGTTTAACGGGGCAAAGAATGCAAACCATTCCAGGTAAGAACTATTCCACATGCTATTTCCATTCTCTTTCCAGTCTTAAAAGCCTTGGTGTTCCTGGGCTTTGTTTCTTGCTTACAAAAGCCATTTTTTAACTGATCTAGGGGCCGGTAAAACGCGACAGCATTGTTTCTGTTTGCAAGTGTAAGAGAAATTGATTAGCAAGACAGTGTGGCATCTTGGAATCTGATGTGCTTGCTGAAAATAAACTTTTTGGTAGCAAACACAGCTCCTTCATGTCTGAGGGGGTAAGAAAGGTGTTTTTGACTGGTGTCACTGTCCCTTCCAGCCTACAAACGTGGGGATACTGAGCCTTAAAAATGTGGCACAGCTGACCCCAAAAAATATAACACAAGGAGTTTAGCAGTAAGCCCACATGCTTGCTAGAGAGAGAGAGCCTTCCATTTTGTAGCCCGTTGCTGCATCACAGTGTTCTGGAAGTGGGATAGAAGAGGCAAATTGCATCTAGAATAGGATGTTGGTCTTAGACAGAGGGACAATTTAGAGCGGTGGGCTGAGCTTTTCAATGCATTCTAAGGAATTTGGACATCCAGTTCCCATTAAAATTAATGGAAATTGGGCATCTAAATCCTCTAAGTGGTTCTCAGTCCTGAGGTTCAATAAGTGCTGCTGCTGGGATGCTTTATTGTAGAAGGCAGCTAGTTGCAAGGATCATCTCTGTTGAACAACCAGTGTTGCTGCTATCCTTCTTTTTAGGGGACAAGGAATGGACAGCAAAGGAGAAAAAAGCCCATTGTATGTTCTGATTGTCCTGCAAAATGAGACCTGCAGAAAATGAATGTCTTTCTTTTGAAGGAATGGATAATTACAATTGTCAAGCACCATTAGATAGTTGGCATTTCAAACAGATGCCAGGTGCTTGTTAGTTATTTGTTATGCCAAGTCTAGCTGGAAACTGCAATCAGTGCCGATAACCTTGTGCACGGCTTTTATTCTTTTAATGGCAGCCACTTTCTATATATGTATATATAATATGAGACACAAGAGAAGCAAAACCAGAGTTGGCCTTTGTTTTGCAAAACCACATTAGCTGGGGCTTTTATCATGTTGGGGAAAGGTTTGGGAAGTAGTTCTCGGGGTTTGGTGCATCTTTAATATAGATATATGCATGTAACAATACGAGTATTACATTGTGTTGTTCTGTGCAATGATCCATTTTAATATAATCTGTTTTATCTGTAGTATTAATGTTGAGCTAAATCTTCAGCTCTGGAAAGTTTGGGGCTTGATTCTGATCTCACTATGGTTTAAATTAGGGGTAACTCCACTAAAGCCAGTGGAGTTTCACTGATATAAAACTGTGGAGAGACCAAAATCTGTCATCTTGGCAATATCTTTCTTAATTCTTTGGGTTTTTTTAAATTACATTAATGTGATCTATTCCTGCCCAAACAGTGGATCTCTTTATGACCTTTGATAAAATTCCTAGCATAAGTGTATGCATTCTGGTTTAGTTTTAGTGAATTGCCTTTCAAAAGTGCAAAAACTCTGCAAGCATTTGGGTCACTTTTG